CACGTGGAACACGGGTTCCCTCGGCAGCGCCGGCTGCTGCGGCGAGAGGAGCCGGGGGTCGGTCAGCGAGGAGGTCACCAGGGACTGGGTCACCAGCGAGCTGCCCGGGTTGCTGAACTGCAGCGTGGTTTGGTTGGTCACCGGCACCGTCACGGGCATGGCGAAGTTCGGCGCGGGCACTGCGGACTGAACAGAGAGCAGGGGGTGAAGGGGAGCAGGCGCCGCCGGGCGAGGAGCAGGGTTGGGGGGGGAAGGTTGCTCCCTTGGCAGAGCGGGCCTGATCCTGCACCTCAGCAGCAGCAACCCCCCACGGCTGCAAAAGTCGGGGGGGGGGGTGAAGTCGGCGCAAGCCCCCATCTCACTGCTGTGCTTGCACCCTGCTGGCATCTTGAAGGGATTCACCGGAACCCGAACCCCCCTCCGGGAAAACTGGGAAGAGCAACGGGGCTGGCTGCTCGGACCCATCAAAGCTTTGCAACCGGTTGCTTTGCTCTCATTTTCGGGCTGTATTTATTTGCCAGCAGTGTTTTCGGGGCAGCCTGCGGAGGGGTGGCTGGTACCACCCCGAAGCAGCAAGGCGGGCATGGTGGTCCGCCCCTGCCAGCACGGAGCGCGGCCGAGCTCGGCGCTGCCCTTCAACCCACCGCAGAGGCCAAGCAGCCCACAGGGATTTTAGGAAGCCGCTCCGGAGGGATGGGAAGAGCCCTCCCAAGGAGGCAACAGCAGATCACCCGTTCGGGGCTGGCACTGCCACCGGTGGCTGAGCACCTGGGAAAGGCTCGTTTTCCTCCGCGCAGCCCCTGGGTGACACCGGGATCCATCCTGGCACCTCTGGGAGCTGCTGGGATGGAGGAGGAGCTGAGCCCAGGGAAGCAGGAGCATCTCTAAAGCCCTATCCTTGGCCGCAGGTCGAGGACCAGCTTCACCTACCAGCGTCCCCGCTGGAGCCGGACTGGCCGCGATTATCCTGGCCGTCTGTCTTATGTCACTGATTTGCTCTTCGTTAACAGGAGCAGGCACCTGCTTAGAGGCTTTAGCAGGGGCTTTGCTAAAGTCCAGCTTTAATTTGTTCAGGGCTGGAGAGGCAGAGCAGCCCAGCGCCGGATGGGACCCTCGCGGGGCCAGAGGCTGCGTCGGCGAGGGGCGGAGGAAGCCGAGCATCCCCCCCCTCCTCATCGCAGCTGGGTGGGGGCTGCAGGGCAGAAATCTGCTCCTCCGTGGGTGATTTTCTTTTGGGGAAGAGGGGAGGATGGGGAGGAAGGAGTGGGACGGGGCTCACCCACGCCTCGCTGCTGGAAACCCTCCCCACCGGCCTCCCAAGGGCATCCCGTCCTTCGGAGATATCCCATGGCTGCAGCCAAGCTCAGAGGACGCCGGCTCCGAGCCTGCGCTGCGGCACC